AGAGAGAGAGAGAGAGACATGTCAGGGGAGTGAGTTTTGCTATCCTTCATTTTGAACCATCTTAGGCAATATTGATTTCCTCAGTATACTAAGATATATTTCAGAATTGATGCTTTGCTAGGAATTGGTCATCATATTTATATTGATGTATGGTGTGTTGTGAGAGCACTTACATAGATGATGCTTTTTGTGGATCTTTGTATTTTTTTTTTTTAATTTTCCTTTTTTTTCATAGTTGCATATTATTGTCTGTCAGTCTATGTTTACTTAGTAAAGAGTAATATCTTCGTAAGCAAAGAAAGAAGAGGAAAAAAATGTATATTGGCATATATATTTTAAATTGTCTTGTGTGTTTATTAGCGAATTCAGCATCATTTTGTTTTAAGCGGAAAGTGAGAGTGATTGCTACTACATTGTTTGCAATATAAATCAGGCAGCCATTATAATCATTATCCTTCTGAGATATTGTAGTTGTTTTCCATACGTAAGTGTAATTCGATAATACTTTTTATCCAGATGAATCTATTCGAGATTGTCACGAGAAAAATATCAATTATGTTGTTTATAGCATGAAACTGATTAAGTGGTGGACCTTTTCTCTCATACATAGTGTATGGTGACTCTTGATATGATTGTGTATCATTTGGTCAGTTGTGTGTATGACAGCTCTTTTTTGTGTATTCTGGCATGTGAGTGTACCAATGATTAAGACCATTTTTTTCTGTATATTGGTCTGGTGTAGTATATTTTTAGATCATAGCGATTTAAGGATTGTTATGTATAGATCGAGGGAACGAGAATTAACAGTCCTTAATTACAAAATAGTCAGGGTGGTGGAGTCTGACATCAGTATAAAATTTTGGGTGAAATTTGAATTTGTGAATAACCCTTTATCATCTTTTATATTGTTGTAAGGTGCGGGTTGACTGCTTCTGACCATTTTTTCTCAAATGCCAGTCAAGTGGAACAAGACTCCATTGTGTGAGGTAACAACAGTCACTGAATTCCTCACGTTATTTTTTAGGAACGCTGGTCAGAAGTAAATGTAAGATGTGGTCCGTCAGTTGAACATGACTGTCATAATCCTTTTTCTGTGTGGTGCATTACAGTGTTTTCCTGTTTCTTGGCTGTATATATTTTTACCGATACTTTGAGCTGATAATTGTCAACTACACATATCTCTGGCAACAACTATGGAACTGCTAAAACCGTCATTCGTGCACGCAACTTTTAAGTTCTTTGAGCAGATTAAAACTTAACCACAGTATGCAAGGTATTTAGTATATATATATATATATTTCTGTTATAGTCATTGTAAGGGTCTAGTGCTGGAGAAACTTGTGAGATCTGAGGAAGCTGTGAGTTTTTTTTTTTTTTATTCTTTCTTTCTTTCTTTTTCTTTTTTTTCTTTTTTTTCCTTTTTTCTTTTTTCATTATTTCTTTTCTTTTCTTATCTTTATTTTTTTCCCATTTCTTTTTTTTCTTTTTTTTCCCCCCTTTTTTCAGTCTGTCCTTTTTTTCTCTTTATCTTTCCCCCCTCTCTTTTTTATACATTTATGTTTTCTTGTATATGCATATCTGTGTGTTGAGTCTTACCCAGTATTTGCTTGACAACCTTTCCAGAGTGTGTATGTGTGTATATGCAGTTGTTCATGTTCTTGATTATATATACTTATATGGATGCATGCTTGTGTATGGATGTATGGATGTGCATGTTTGTATGATTTTATATATATATATATATATATATATATATATATATATATATATATATATATATATATATATATATATATATATATATATATATATATATATATACATACACACACATGTATATACATATATATGTACACATATATGTATACAATATGTACATATATATGTACATATTTATATATATATATATATATATATATATATATATATATATATATATATATATATATATATATATATATATATATATATATATATATGCACATAAATGCATATAAGAAATGTTGATAAAATAGACATGCCTTTCTACAGATACATTATGATGCATATATAAAGAGTAAATAAAAAAACAAATGCATGTATGTAGAAATTTAATAAGTAAATATTTGTCACAACATACATGCATACATAAACATACATGGATAATTTAGATATGTTTTTTTTTTTTTTTTTTTTTTTTTTTTTTTTTGACTAGTTGATCCCAGAAAGAAAGAAGATTAATTATTTATGTATCAGGCTTTCATAAATTCAGAATGCCAGATTCCATACTTAAATGAAGAAAAGCTTTGTTGCTAAAATATGTACTCTAGGGAACAGAAAAATAAATCGAATGACATTTTGATATGTATAACTAGGATCGAAAGTCTCAGTCATAGAGAGGGAAAGTTAAAAGTGATTTGTGATTATTATCGTATTTATAAAAACGTTCCAGTAGTGTTATCTAATCAATACAGAGGAATCTTCATTTATATTTAGAAAAGAAAAAAAAAACAATAAATGACTCATTTTTCTTTTTCTTTTGACTTTTTCTCCTCATTTCTTTTATGCCTTTTTTTTTCATCTTTTTAATATATAACAGTTATATTATTTGATGGCAATTTATCTGATCTGAGAAGGTAATAAGCCTTCAATATGTGACTACAGTTATGGATTCAGTCTGTGATGTTTTGTTGATACCATGTAGATTTAAGATATATTCTCTAGTTTATTTTTAACAGCAGAATGATAGTGAGCCATGAATATAAGATTTCAGATCTGTCTCTTGTTGTATCTTTAATCAACACACATTTGAAACCTGATGATTGTGTTGAGAAATTACCCTTTAAAACAAGGCGCCTTTATGTAACTGGGGAACAAAAAGATAGATAATCGCAGCTGAAGGACGTATTATTCTGCTATTTTTTGTTAATTAGTTTTTTTTTTTTGTTTTTTTTGTTTTTTTTAAGTAAGATGCATGGAATAATAAGGAAGACTCTCTGGATGAAGTAAGAAAGGCCAATGTAAATATCTTCTCCGGGTGATGCAAGAATCGTTCATCTCCTGGGCATCTAGTGTGAAAGATTTGTTGTCTTGTGATTAGTTTAAAGTGTTTTTCTTCCATGATTTTGTATATTTTTTCTTGCGTTTCCTTCAGTGAGCCAGTAATGGATTCAATGATCAAACAGTGATATTGTAAAATTGTAAATAGAGGATAATCTAAAGGGACAGTGAAAACTGCTGATGAAAACCAGTGTTAACACACTCATATTGCATTAAAAGTATCAGTTTCAAATTAATTACCTGTACATTGATTTTGTACATACATAAATAATATATATATATATATATATATATATATATATATATATATATATATATATATATATATATATATATATATATATATATATATATGCACACACACATACATACACACATGTATTTACACATGCATATGTTACCTGAAAGAAATGGGAATTTGTGTTTATAGTGTCACAAAAATTAACAGCAGCATTATTGAAGCGATAAAGAAGAATGTGCCTGCTTAATCAATGATAAATAACTTGTTTTCCAATATTTATGTAAATACAACCACACATATTTGCCATAAGAGGTCTGAGAATTGGTACTTTTTTTTTTTATAAGGACTTATGATAAACCTGTGATACACAATATAAACTATGTAACATACATCAAGGTTCCTCTTGTCAACAGTTAAGGATTATTAGCAAATGTATATGTCAAAGCAAGTGCATTGATCACAGTGGACAATTGTGGAGTGGATGAACGATTTGCCTGGGACCGTTTTAATTAGTTTGGTATAACATTCCTGTATTATTAAAGTGGCTGGTGTAAAAATTTGCCCTTATAATTTATACCCATTGAAAGATGTACAAAATTATTGTGTTTAATCATTGGTTTATTGTTGGTACTATACCTGCCAGATATAATTGGAGTCCTTAAAAAAAAAAAAAAAAATGATAGATTCAACATATCATTTTAAAAAGCTGCATTTCTTTGTAACAAAAGCAATCTAGTTATTACAAACATATTTATTGATCAAAATGTAATTGATTTTGAGAAATAAAACACTAAATAAACATACAGTGTAGATATGTAAGTATAATGTTATTCCTTTACTAGAGTTCAAGTTAACATTCGTTTTTATAAGAATTGTCCAGATCAATTTGTATTTATTCACTGTTTCATGTTTCATTACCTGCGCTAAACAAAATATTTTTGTTTACCTTGCTCTCATTTTAATTTTTCATTTCATTTTATTTTTTTACGTCACTATTTCTACCATGATTTTTTTTTCTTGTCCTCGTTTATATTGTTGTTATGTTTATTGTTACTGAAAGTTTAATTTAATGGAATTTAGAAATCGTAAACTCCTTAGTTTATCTTATCTCTTTGCAAAATATTTATTACGGACTGGTTGCAATTCATGAACTGCTGCCATTGTTTTCTTATTACAAGTATATATCTTAAGTAAAGTTGTGACCAAAGGAACAGACAGTGGATTAGATGATAAGCAGAGTTCATTGTTATTTTGCATTGTTTAAAACTGATATAGTGTACAGTATGTAGCACACTACTGGAGTAGTTACTAGTTGGTTCAGTGATAAACAAGCTTCTGAAGATTTATTTATATTGTATCTAATGTCTTTTTTTTTATCATTTAGCATATATTAAGATGTTTTTGTGGCTACAAGGGCTATAGAAATGATTATGATAATGTGTTTTTGACAAGAATTGTATAAAGTGCAAGAGCTATATAATTATATCACAGTTTTTGTTTTATTGAGATAATAGATTAAATGTAAATGTTTGATCTGCAATGGACAGATTTTTGGAATGCAATTTCTCTGCCGTTCAGAGCTATTCTTTTAAAAAATGGATGTGAATTTGTATGAAATGACTGTTGATGTGACTAGTGTAAATTTTGTAGCATCAAATATTTTGTGTAGCTACAGCATATGCACAAAGCCTGCTGCTCCATAGCTCTTTCGAAGGAAGAT